ACAAACACAAAACTGCTGACAAGACTAAGAGTTCTTGAAAATCAATGTGATTGAAGGATTGCCAATGGACACGGTCCACAGACATGTGCATGTACTGGTAGGCAGTTCATAATGGGAGGTTTACATGCATGAACTACATGTAAATATGTATGTCATGTCGTGATGTGCGTGTGGCCAAGAAGCCCTCAACAATGTGCTTTGCCATCAGTTGCTAATGCTATGCTTTCGTCCACATTCACAATGACAGCCATCGGTTGGATAGTGCACAATTGTACATCAAGTACATGTACATGTATGTTACTGAACATGTTAAAGTTACTAAATCTTTACAAGTTTTTTAACATAGCCAGGATAAAATTCTATTTATTCATTAAATATACTGTTGCATATCACCCGACTAAACATGCTGTGTAGCATGTAGCACTGCTACACACACAGGTTCTGTCTTCTTCGGTCTCATTTCTGGCTGGGTATAGACTTTCATTCAAATGACATACATGTACACAGGTACTGGTACATACATGTATGTACATGTACATAGGGAGCAACATTCCTTCAATCTGGTAAATTTCTATAAACTTTATGACCTACAAAATACAAATGGGACCACTGCTGTAGTCACGTACATGTACCGGTACCAGGTACCAATAATCATGAAGTCCAATTGTAATTTCTGGTGCCAAAAAACTGGATTCCTTAATATCCTTGGCCAAAGAACCATTCCTGCAAAAACTCTCAAAACAATGGGAAAACTGCCACTATGCCAGCTTTGGAAGATCCAAGTTTCTAATGCTAATACTCACAAATATGATCAATATACCTGGAACAATTTTAGGTATTTAAGTGTTCAGTCCCACAGTTAACTGGTTAAGAAACCTTGGAAAAACTGAAACAAAACATTACTTATTTACAAGTTACTTATTACAAGTAAACTGAATTTAATTGTCATATTCTTTAGACAAGTTACTATTCCATGACATCCCTTTGACAAAAAGTCCCATATCCCTCAACAAATACCATCATTGTCCTTGACATAACTTGAAAACTACCAAAAACATGAAGAAGTGTAAATTTGATGAAGACCACTACTAATTTTTTTTTTTTTTTTCCTAGACAATACAGTGTACAAATACCATTTCTCTCTTGGCCCACATCCTTTATGTAGTAAGGTCTAAAGGTGGTTGCTTAATGCTATATGTTGGCCTACCAGTACCTATAATAATGAAACTCCTCATTCCAACAAAAAGGTCATAGGTAACTTTAATAAATCACAAGGGGTGTGGCCTCAATCGTCCAGAGCTATTTTGGGGTAAGTTTCACAGTCCTCCCCGACAAAAAATTATAAATAATCTCCGCTGATTAAATCTTTGTCCTCGAGGTTACATCCGCTTGTGATTTTTTTTCTGACAAACATTTTTGGTCATGTTGAGGCCACCACACACCCTTCCTAGCTAATGCATTTCCACTTCTCCGATGACTGTTTCCAGTACGTGTAATGTATTGTCCAATGAAACATCCCCGTCCGTGTGAAATAAGATTAAGAGACAAGCTGTAGGCCCCCTAGTTGGTGAACGTCTTCAACACACCATTCAACCAAAAGAAATTTTTCTTTCATTTGAGAGCGAAAGGAAACTGAATAGAAAGGGATGGGAGCCATGTTGTAATTGGTGAAGCTGCTGCACTGCTGACGATTACCTTTCAACTGACCATGGAAGTAGAATTGTTACGCCTCAACTATAGCATAAGTCCCAACTATAGTTGGGACAGTCCCAACTGTAGTGCTACAGTTGGGCTGGCCCAACTACTGTTGACCAATGTCTGTGGGAAATGTCTCAACATTATCCAAGTCAATGTGTCTCAGACTTGACACAATTCATCAAAAATGTGGCACTTAGCCCTATGAAAAATGACATGACATGTGTAAATAATATGACTTTGGCACATGCTGGGCACATCATGATCATGCACACAGGACCTCTCTGCTGTAGTTGGGCCGGCCCAATTGTAGCACTCTAGTTGAGACGGGCCCAACTATAGTTGGGGCGTAACAGCATCACATAAACTGACCTACCAGGCCTGACTGGTTGAGCTGGGCAGCCAGTTGTAGACATGGGTGTGGGTAAGCAAAATTCTCACAATTTTCAATGGTATAATGTAAGCGTTACTACGCCACGTAAACCTTGTCTCCTCTTTCCTACCTCCAAGGTCGCACGGAGTTCTCAAGACCACACTCCCTTTTGACTACTGCCACAGTGCCAGCCTGGCGCTCTGTCATGTCAGCTGGCCAAGCGGTGTACAGGTACTTAACACTTGCGCATACAGTGCACATAGAAATTCAAAGCCGTGTTGTCACACCTACACGATAGCACTAGTAAACTTCCAAAAGGTTTCATTATAGAGGCTACTTACCAGTTTACAGTGGCATTCAAAAATTTCCACAAAATCATTTAAAATCCCCGTTGAAATAGTTGACAACCACTCGAACAACAGACCCACGACGCCTAGCGAATTACGTTGATTTAACTGGTGCATGCCATTATGGCAATCAACGAAGTGCGGGTACCATCGATCCAAAGGTGATTTTGCGCTCGTCACTTGAAGTAGCGCCCTCGCTAGACAAAGTGTCTCTTAATTTCTTTTCTTTCTCAAGTAAGCAACAATAAACAAAAAATAATAATAACTACTACAAAACTTAACTTTTACATGCTTTTAAAACTTGTAACATCACTTATCTATCCTGGTATGTATCTCTTTTCGTACACGTGAAAATAAATCAGGCAGATCTTGCAATTTGGGTATATTTTTCAGACCAAAAGGCCACAAATGGCAATGAAATTTGATATTTTGTGCAAAGTTTGAATTTTGCACAAGACCTATTTGAAAGATTTCTGGTAACACCAGGGCAAAGATCAGATTATTTAGATCCAATTCAAGAGTCTATAGAGACTTTTTTCTGGCTGCAAACATGGTTTATGTACGCTCTATTTGTTCTGTTAAATCTCGAAAGATAATTATCACAGGTAAAATTTCTTTTAAAAAATTACTGACATTCCCTAATCCCTAGTCCAAGACAAGAAGTCACAGAAGACAATTCTGCCTTGGTTCAGGTGAGTAAATATCCCTCTATTCACATACTAACTACATAGCAACTGCTACACTTTAAAAAATGACATCTCATATGAAATAAATACCATTGATAAGGGAATAACAGAATTAACTAATTTCTCAAAATTCTGTTCTACCGTTTTACTCCATGTTTATGAAACACTCTGATAGCAATGTCTATGGTATGTGAACCATATTCAATAGTCCTAATTATCATGCATAGAGATGGGATTGCACACCACTCAATATATAATGCAAGTTGTAGACCAGAACACACTCAACCTCAACAGTGTTACAAACTGCTTGCTACGAGCCCTGAATCAATTGGTCTGTCTTATGTGTTTTAGTATTCATTAATCACTTGCTGCCAGGGAACCCCGTTTTGAGTACCATGGGTTTATACGCAGAGCCGGGGTGTCCGAAATGGGACAAAAAAGCTGGTCCATGTAACAGAAGACCTGCTGCTGGGAATTGCCATCATTTTTCGACTTGCATTTTGGAAGGTAATCCATCACTGTGTTTAAACAGTATACCACTGTTTTAGGCATAGCGCACCTGCGGATTAGCATCGTGGACAAAAGTGCTCCAGGGCCCCATTGATGAGTGACACAGCACCACTGCAAGCTAATCCAGCTGCGTTTGAAAAGACGCCACTCACATTCACTGGGGGCAAAGGGAATTACTCAACACCTCACAATTCTGGGCTCTCTTTACAGGGCAGCAGGCCTGGCTGAAATACTCAGGAGTCAATGAAGGTTGTCTGTCAGCTTAAAGTAGCCACCAAACAGTCATTCGTGTGGGTGTGAACGTCCATTAAAGGAATTGATAAATTTTTAAAGAATTTCGAAAACTGAAAATCTTGAAAATCTCCTGTATATGTGCACTGCATTTTTAAAAACACCCGGCAGCAAGTGGTTAAACCTGAGGTAAACAAAAGCATGACTCAAGAAATGTCCAAACATAAAGGATTCACACAACTTTGTCTTGTTTCAGCACCAGGCAGCCAGGCTTGCAGTACCTTGTTCTGTACAATTGAGCACACTTTCTGGTAAACCAAGGAAAAGCAATGTTCACACATCATGACAATTAATTGTTGGTGGTCACCTGTTGGTTCACCATGATTGTTGATGATTAATTAACAGGTTACTGCACCATCCTTAATTTCTTTAGGCTGATTATATAAAACCATGGATCAAGCCTAAATGTCACTTGATAAAATCACAGGCACTAAGTGTAGCTTTGTTCAACTCCAAAAAATTCTAGGTTACTCTTTTATTTAATACTGAAACCAGTAAACATCAGAAAATAAAAACTATTAAAATGATTATCCCGAAGTAACAATCCACCTGCCTTATGTTACGTCCTAAAGCACCACCTCTTTGACTAACCTGAGGTCAACTGTGCATGCAAACTACAACCAAGCAAAAGCTGTTTCAGTAACATCATTAGATACATTCTTTCGAATGCAGAATTTCAAATAATTACTAGCATGAATCCCAAACCCGATCTAGTTATCTAAATTAAATACAGATGAGTACTTGCATAGGCAAATAATTGAATGTCTACATAAGCAGTGATTTCAAATACTACTTCTATCTCCTGTTTGTCTCATCTGTCCAGGTTTCATTATCCTCACTTGTCTGTCCAAAAAATTTTTTTAACATCTGTCCCTGAACACTTCCCTTATGAACTACCCCTTTCAAAGAACCATTCCAAACTATTAGAAATCTTAAACTCATGCCACATCACCATTTGTCAAACGGTCATAACTCCTATGTGTATACATGCATACTAATGCATAAGAGTAATTTTATTATCAAGTTCCATGGACAACTGCCTCACAAGATGGAAAGAAGCATAATTGCACTGTTTTTAAAGTGTATAACCAAGAAACACAAACATAATTACGACCACTCCAAGACACTTAAGTCTCAATCCATTAAGACACATTGGTAAGATAGTACTAAGCTCCTGTGTACATACACTGGAGCATGAAGAATGGACGCATAAATAAACAAGTTGTAAACTCACTGTAGGTTACAGAAACACCGGGAGCATGAAATCAAAACATGAAACCTTATGTTAAATATGTCAATAGACATGTCAATAATCAAAGCATGCATTTTGAAACTGCACAAAGAGTCTCTGAATTATCCAAGATTCTTCATTCTACTTTCTTGGCCTTGCTCGGAGGGAATAGTACATCCCAAGCCATGTGGAAGACACTGGTGAACAGCAGAGTGCCAGCAAATACACACCCTGTGCCCATCCAGTGGTAGAAAGTGAAGGGGTTCTTGAAGTACAAGATGGAGAAGACCAGACTGAAGAACTTGCGTAGAGTGACAACAAGAGTGACGATAAGGGATGGACACTCTGTTGTCAGTATGAAGACACCACGAATGCACACATATGTAAGAGATGGAGTTAGGGAACTAGACAGTAAACATGGTTGAATGTTTTGGGTAATTGGCACCGTGTTGAGTGTATGTACTTAACTGGCTATTCAAAGAATTTAGTGTTTGATCATTCCAAACTGAACTAGACAGAATAAAAAAAAATCACCAACAATTCTTTTACAAGCACCAGAATAAACCACAGACAAAGATGGTTAAAGGTTGAAGCCTGACGGTACAGGTGCACTGCTTGCAGTAATCAATATTTCAGAGCACTGGTCAACATTATTTTGCATGCATCTTTTGTTGCATGGATTATTATGGATACTTTACTGTTAAAATACCATCAGAGGCAACTGTGCACTGCTCATATGTTTTACTTGATTGTTCAAGCCAGTACATTGCCTTTCGACTATTAACTGATCCAATTTACTAAAATAGCCCTCTGTAGTTAGGTTCAGTGCTCATAATGAACTGTTAAAATTGTGGTATTTTTTCAATAAATTTGAGAGAGCTTAATGTTTTGATCCACACAGAATTTTTGCACAACAATATACAATTTTATAAAATTGTTGAACCCTTCTGGGTTAATTTTCCAAAAATAGTTTCTTTTTGTAATTGTGCTCATCCAAAAGTACTTTAGTACAACAGCGGTATATGTAGGCATTGCAAACCCCTCCCCCCCCAAAAAAAAATTTACAGAGGAAAGGGTAATGAATTATGAAAAGGATATTGTGTTATTATGTTTCCTGTCAAATACAGCCACATCTTTGGTGCCATTACACCTATGACAGGTACTCCAAGCGGTTCTGTATACAAAACAGAAATTCATTGTTAGTAAATAGCACTGCCATGAACATATTTCTGAAATGTAATTTAACATTTCAAGTTTGCTTTCAACTCAAGCTAGAAATGCACTTACTGTATTTTCCAATAAATAACCAGTTTCTTGATTGTACCGGTACTTTAGTTTTGTTGTCTCATCCAAAGTTTCTCACTTATTTAAGGAACAAAACTTAAATATAAATTTCCTTTACTTCAACCGCCAAATGAATTCAACATTGCCATGTAAGTTTCAGTACGTAAAACAGCATGGGTTATAAAACATGGTTTTTGTTGGCTTATAAACAACATTTGTAATTAAACTAGAATTAATGTACAAAGTTTTTTATTGTGCTATTATCTGAAATGATGGAAATAATATTGCTTTAGAAGGGATGTTTTTAGTGCAAACTGATGAAAGCTTAGATAGTGTAACTGAGATTGTCATACCTGAGTTTGAAAATATCACTGCATAATTGTAGATGTCCTTTCCTAGCACTGCAAAACCTATAAGGGGCAGTGCATGCTGTCACAAGAAAACAATCAAATGAAGTCATATAGCAAATCACCTTCTCAGGGTGGTTCATACTTGTTTCTTTTTTTAGTAACTGTGTCAGATTGGAACCAGAATTACATTACATGGAGACAAGAGGTAATGGCATAATAATGTATGTATGCATGGAAAGAATGACAACATTCCATAATGCAGAAAAGAACTGGGCTTCATGCTCAAGATGATCATTTTGGATAGTGCCCCCCAAGTCCACTTCGTTAATTAAACCCTCTGATGTGGGAAGGAGCTTGTCTATTTTGCTACAATTATAGCGCCAAAAAAATGACATGAGGTTTTTATCACCAATTTGGCATTACCGATTGGTCCTAGCGGACGTTTCAATCCTAGCAAAATCTTTGTCATTACCTTTGAGAAAGATTCTGCTGGGATCAAAACATCAGGTCTTCCATATATTCTGATTTGTATTTTAGGTCACTGTCACGTCGGCAAGCAGTTTGCAGCAGTTTTTTATTACGTATGTTCTGGGACTCTAACTCTGGCATATATGGTCTTTTTCAATCCAGGATGTCAACTTACAGAATAGAACAATGCCTCCCTTGGATGCTTGCCATATTCCTGATAGAGTGTTTCTTGATAGATACCCATCCGAGCAGACATGAAGAGAGCCAAGGTTAACATTAAAATACCTGAAAGGCAGACAAACAGGATAGAAATCCACTGACTTGGATTCTGTCCATGAGTGAAAACATGGAATATCTACACAAGCAAACATAGAGAAACCAACTGTCAATGGCAGTAACAGCGACAATGGCAGCAAAAACCATTAGAAATATGAGTCTATTATGACAGAAAAAACATAGGTGAACCTGTCAGACCTGTTTGGTAAAATATCATGGGACTCATTATTAATAACAAATGTCAAGAATTTGGGGGAAAGGTGTGGCTGTACCATGTCAATTATGACATCAAAAAGATATACTTATAAACACTGTATACTCAGTGTTTGTCCGAGAGCTTGCGAAAAAATTCATAAGCTTACTCAGGTGAGACTTGAACCCACGACCTCCAGCTTACTAGTGCAGATGTCTACACCACTCAACCACCAAGCTTGCTGGGGTCGGCGGGCCGGCAAAATCCCATTATTAAAATTAACATCTCCCCAATGCAAGGTACACCTTGAGACATCACAAAGGCCTGAAAAAAGGACTTCAAGCTTCACTTGTGAAAAAAAATGACTCTTTATCTTGTCTTGTTCTTGCAGAAACATTGACTTGGTTGCAGTGCTGAAAATAACTATTAAACTCCTCACCAACTGTCAACATTCCGACGTCATAAGCAGTCATTGGTCCTTCTAACTCTGTGGCTTCGTTTCCCTGTTTTTTATTCTGTGTGTAACCAAAAGGAAAGGTCAAATAACAACTGCTGAAAATAATATTTTGTAACCAAAAGTATTTTAACTTTTTTTAAAGTTACTGTAAAAATTGATCCTTAATAGGTAAATAGACTTTTCTTCAAGTAAAAGCCCGTTTTTCTAACATTTGATGGTAAATTTGGCAATGCTCACTCAGCACTGGTTGTCATGATGACTACAACTTATCGGTGTTATTTTTGGGAATAATTCAAGAGTGACTTTGTCAAAGCTCTTGTAAAATGCCTTGTTACACCCTACAGTCTACACTCATTGATGGCATAACAGAATACTGCACAGGCTGGTCTTATGATCCTTCAGAAGGTAAGGTCTTTCTTGGCAAGTCATGTATCCTAAGCCACAGTTAGTCTGCCATGTGACTATGTGCATGAGGAATAAACTACAGAATTCTGTCTCAATGCGATGTGCAGGAATTCTTTCATTGTCAGACATGATTAAGAGTGCAGTCCCTTTGTAGCATTCAGAATTCTAAACTCCAACTATAAATTTGTGGTAATTTAATGCTGTACAGCAGTTATGGAGGACTAGAGTCTGGACTCGAGTCCCTATATTCAAGGACTTGGACTCGGACGGATGAGACTTGGATTTGGACTCAAACAATGAAGACTTGAATATCTCAAGGACTCGGCCAGAGTCTGGCAACCCCCCCCCTGCATTGTGTTCCACAAAATGTGCTAAATTTAGTCGAGAAGTTACATGTTTTTCCTGCTCCAGAAGCCTCCAAATCCCTATCCCTGCTTGGTCGCTCTGCACCCTGGCATCTCTCCCTTCAAACGACTGAAGAATCTTCCACTTTTTTGGTCTCAATGTTGGCAAGTACTCAGGGGTTTAGATAATGTGCATATTGGCGTGTATATATGTTTCCTGATTTGGAAATTTAGTCATAATACCCAGCATAAAAGCTCATGCAAATCATAAGATACACAGTGATTTCTACTAGAGAAAGAGTACCATAAATTTCTAATTTTTTGATGTTTCATCAACTACACCCTGCCCAACTGAGTAACATTCATAGTGGACGCTACTGAAACCGATTTGTTCATGTTCATCTGCGTACAGCTTTCCCCGCCACTCCATGCATAACCATGAAATTATTCAGAAACTCCCGAATTGACGGGAAAGACCTAAAGCAAAACGTGTTGTAGACCGAAATGGGCTACTGCGCAGGCATTGTGCACATAGATCGTTTTATGTACAAAAACGTGATCACCAGACTCCCTAAAGACACAATGCAGTAAACTTGATTTCTAGCCCTCTAGGATCACACTATTTTCATTGATTTTTGCATGAATGGATAGGGATTGAGTTGCCTAAACTCCTCAATGAAGTTCGGTGAAAAAATGTGCAGTTTTCTGCAAGTTTTGATCTGTTAAAAATGAGCATTTTTTCAAGTGGCGTTTAAAGGGCTTTCAGGTACATCTACAAGAAACCAGGTATCATTTTTGAAAAATCTGGTTCTGAACCACCTTTAAAAATTCAGGTTTAGACCATGAGTGTGAGTACATTAAACCGATCGATGAAATGCACTATGATTTGCCAAATGGCCAATGCTGAGCGTGTGTGCTTGACAGCTGGTCACCATGGTATCCGCACACAGTAGCCTCACACGTGCTACCGTACATGGTCGGATATGGACTTATGTGATTTTGTCTCTGCTGTCGTGAGTTCAAGGTTATCACTATATGGCTGTTTTTTGGGTTTTTTTACTGTTTTTCCAGTAAAGTATTATTAGCAAGTACATGTATTATTATATTTATCAAGGCAAAAAAAAAAAACTAACTCACATTACAATGGTACTCAGTTCCTCCACCTGTGAACATTTTGTGCACTTCCTATGGGTGAAGGCCTAGACCTAGCTAGATTGAAGATTTGGTCTGAGCACTTTCAATCACCTTTTCACCAAACCGAAATTGAATTTGGGAATTTAACATTTTCACACTAAGGAAGCCTTAAAGGATCCAGGAAATGAATTTTCTTAGAATCACTTTTGGTGTATCTCTGTAATCTTCTTCCATGTATGAAGACTGTTTGACATCTTTTTTGAGTAAGGTGAAAAAACGGTGCACTTTTTCACACATTAAAAATTGACAAAGCATTTGCTTTGATGTAAATCCAGGAAGACATGGTTCAGGTTGCATATTTTCATATTCAAATTGTGAACCTCAAATTTGCTATCTGGGAACATTTCCGCGAAAAGGATTTTTGCTGGATTATTACCATATACTTACACAGCAATAAATTGCCAAAGAAAATGAAATCTGCCATAGTCGTGGTTAAAAAAGTCTAGAATTTTTCTGTGCACAAATCAGTGCAACAATGATATGGATGGCACCATAGTTCTCCTCATGAATATGCAAATATGCAATAGCATAACCCCCCCAAACATCAAAATATAGGTTACAATAGCAAAAAAAAAATTTAAATAAAGTTAATTGAAACCAAAAGATGCAATTTCAAGGGTTTTTTTAGAAAAATGTATATTGAATATTTTGTTTCCTGGTTCCTTTAAGTCCTTTTAAAAACAACCGAGGGTGAAACCTTTTACTTATTCAGTCTTAGTGCACCCTACAAAGCCATCTGTGAGCTTTTTTCTGTTACCAAAAGGGGTCTAATGATTGCTGTCCAGTGATATAAAATTTATCACCTCCTTCAATATATTTGATCTCTTCTGCACTAATCAAAATGGTAAGTTATTTTCTGATATAGTGAGGGTGTCAATATGCCAGTCAAAGTTGACAAAGGTTAAATAAATAGCATTCTTAATTACAATTTTTTCATAAAATGCCCTTAATGATGAATTATATCTTATTGTGAATTATATTGATATATTGGTGGATCTAGCTAGGTCTCGGCCTTCACCACTTGAGAATCATAAAAGGACTAGGACTCAAGACAGAAAAACTCAGACTCGGACTTGGAAAGCAAGGACTCGGACTTGAATGGTAAGGACTTGACTACAGCACTGCTATACAGCATAAACGAATGTTCCCCATACACCTTGGTACATATTCAAACAAAATAAAAGTACCTTGTAAAATGAAAAATCTCACTGATCATAACTCTATGGGTTACTTTTCTCCAAGTTCCTTGTCTTTCCATCTACTCAGTTGATTCTCCCTGTTTAGAATCTACTATCAGTCTGGAACTTTGGTACCATAAAGCATCTTTGATACTGGTATGCCAGCATATTAAATTTATGGAGTTTTCACCACGTTACCACAGGTTGAAATGTGTGCTTGACATAAAGCTTACTGATATACTTGGTGGTATTTTTTCACTACTGTTGCAAAAAGTACAAAGAATTAATGGATGCAGAAAATGTCAGTGTTTTGTGAGGCACTTCTAAAACTGAGGCACATTCCAATCTTAGAATTCTCATTGCCTCATATTTGACCCTATAAGTAATATTTCTGCAAGGTACAGTCCATCATTTGGTGTTATCCAAAAGGTAACTGACAAAATTATTGTTGAAAAGCACAGTTGGTTCAAAGATGGTTACGGGACTAAAAATCCTGTGAAATTCTTACACAACACATATTCATACGTGGTTATTATAATTCAATGGTTCAGTCTGTGACATAGCACAGCTGCATTCAACTGAATTTGACAGCATGTCCCTGATACCAGATGCCGACTTTAGGCACAATTTCAAATATGATGCAGCAACATTTGATCTAATATAAGCCAAATTCTTGAATATTCTGTTCTCACAGTATACAGTATTGACTGAGCTGACACTTCATGAGGTTTGTTCTTGGGTACCCTTCTTAAGATTTTGAGGACATTTAATGCTTTAAAGGAACATTATCCACAAATAACAAATGATGGACTGTACCTTTGAATCTAGATGTGGATACTAACTAGAGTACTACATACCCCTGTCTTTGCTGACATAATTGTGCATGTGCATATACCAACAGTAATCATCAAAATCGATAAATACTTGTAAGCTGGATATCTGGAAGACAAAAGAATGACAGAGAAATTTGATTACGCTGCAACAGATCACAGGAACATGTACTTCTCTATGTGAAAGTCAAAAACCTGACAAATAGCAGTGTGTTGCTTAAAGCCTTTCAATGACCACACTTTCCGCTGTGCAAGGCTGCATGTATGAACATTTTAAATCAAATTTTTTAAATTAAAAAAAACACATCTTTTGTGAACTCATAGTTTTCAAAGCTCTACTTTGTACTCACAAAAAAATTTGAAGAATAATAAAACATTTCATGTAAGCAAGGAATAAGTAGCTGGTTACATTTCAGTTCTGGTTGCTATGGATGATAAAACAATTTCGGTCATACGTAATACATTCCAGTTAATTTATACAAGATTAATCCAAACAAGATGCATTTCAGATAAATGAAGTCCATTCAGGCCATTTTAAGATCAATTCTTTAATAACTCCCCAAATAACTGGTACATACTTCTTCTTAAGGAGGATAACTCCAAGCACCATGTTGGCAACCAGAGACCCCTGAAAAGGAAAAAACACTATACATGTATTTTCATTTGTGTAGCCACAGTGAGGATTTAAATTTGAATAAGAGCAGTCATGTGAGACACAAGCTGTGGTTGAACAGGCGTGTTCAATTCAATGACTGAATTCACCTGCAAGCAGTACGACATTACGTTTTCAAAAAACATATCAACATTGAATCTAATACCTGCATTTTGCTTGTCTGCATTCAAGCTTGAATTATCATGAAGACTAAATCATGACCAGCTTTATTTACAAAACAGCAAGACACAAGACACTGTAAGATGAGAAACCCAAATCTTTGTTATCAGTGATTTCATCCAAGCTACAAACCATGGATGACTTTTGAAAAGCTCAATTGCAAAAATGTCTCCCATAAATTTTGTATGTACAATGTACATTGCCAACCACTGCAAACCATCCCTCATGACCCCTGACCCTGTCCATTCAGTGCTTCCCATCTTGCCATCAGCATTTTCCAAAGGTACTACGGACTGTTTGTTTCACACAGATCTGGGATCTTGATCAGTGATCCAAATAATCTTGATCAGTGATCCCAAAAATCTTAATCAGTGATCCCAATGCAAGCTGGCTACATCAAATGAGATGGGTTTTGGTGTCATGAACCAACGAGGGATTACTAATTGAGATCCGAATCCATGTGAAACAACCAGACCCTTATGTGTTATTCGTCAATTCTCTTGCAGGTTGGATAACTGGGAGGGGGATGGTCAAAGTACATGTAAATAAAATGAAAGTAATTAATTTGCGATGACTTTACAGCTAAGTGCACGATTATGCTCTTGGCAATTCCACACTAAAATTACGGAGAACTCGAACATAAAATCTATCTGCCTCTTTTCTTGCCAGACACTGTTACTATTTGAATAGAAGCCATTGGACATACTATGCACTGCACAGTCATACCACAGGTATTACTCATACTTACACTTCTGAAGATCATGTGTAATGGTAGAGGAATCTTGAAAATAAGTGAATAATTGTTGACAACACTTGTTGTGAAGAAAAAGAAGACCATCACAACATAGTGCCTGAAGAATGGTAAAACAAAGAAAAAAGTTGCTACTTTAAATATCAACAAAAAGCCATTTGCGAGTTAAATTTGAATAAAATCTGGTGCACTGAGTTATCTGACTAAACATAAACATAACGATTTAAATTCCCCACATAGCAACCACCATTTCTGGAATGAACTGGTTCCTTTGTGCCCAACGGTGTATTGTTGCAAGGTGTCTCTTATGTAACTAAGCAAAAGCTTGCCCCAAATCACGAGGTATAGCAACAGTGGTTTTAGTAAGAAGAATTGAAGTTGTTATGTTCATGTGAATTTAAAGAACTTGGTGATACCAGATTTGGGTCAAAGTTAACTCATAAAAGGCATATTGTGATGTTATTGCTTGTACTCCCCACAACATCAAACTGAACATTCCCGTATGCTTGGGTTTGGCCAAATTTAGTTTTTGAAAATACACCGGAAGCAAGTGTGATTCTCCTCGAGGTGAACATTAAAAATTGCTTTTGTTCCAAGGGTTTTTCACACAAGTTGGGAATTTTTTATCAAACATTGCAGCTTTATCATTTTTCCAAAAGTAGTTACCCAGTGGCCCTGGGAAAAAAATAAAAAATACAAGTGGGGTAATTCTGGGGAACCTAAAAAAAATAAATACCCAATAGGGGTTTGTACTCATGCACACAGCTGAACCCAACAGAGTACAGTATGTAACATAAAACCCTGTTGGGCTCTGTTGGGTTCAGCATGGTAAGCCTCAGTATGGTCTGAACCAAAGTCACAGAGATATGATACTGAAACAGACAGCAAGAAATATGTAAGACTCTATCCAGACTCCATTCAGCCAATCTAAATCATTTTGACAGTTCTGACATATTTCTTTGGCAGTGAGGGTTCACTTCAACTAAGTGTGGATACTCACTTTATAGGTATGACAGGTGTTTTTGTTCCACAGCGTGTTGCAAAAAAGAAACCCTCTACAGCAATGAAAAGGAACTGTGCAAAGGTGATGATGTTGCCACTTCCAGGATGCTCACTAAATAAAACAAGAATACAGGAATAAACTAGTGAGTATGAAAAGTTCTTGTCCTCTCCAATCACCTGTCATTTGTTCGCTCAAAGAACTACATGTACATATACCATGTCCAGAAAAGGAGAATGCCACGCCGCGCTTCTCCACTATCCGTCCCTGTGAAAGCTACGCCACTGCGGACTCGAAGTAGAGTTGCAACATCACACGACGCACACAATACCAAATGCATAGAATGGTTAAAATCACAGAGCTACAATTGTATATTAAAAAATAAATTTCTATGGTTACAATATTTGCACCTGTGCTGACCTGTTTTTAAGTAAATACTTTGGAATTTTCTCTGCTAAATTTCACTTTTTAGGATATTTATCACTTTCTGATGGCTGTCATAACATTAAAAAATGGTGCTGTCCGTATATGGAAATCTTTTTATATTGTACATTATTCATTACAATTTACAAGTACATGCCCTTCTGCCCTTTCTGAAGGCGCCTTTCAATATGCAAGTCAACACTTACATGTACGTCAAGTGTTGCGAATCTGTCAAAATAGCTCCCAGGGAAATTTTGATGGCTGAACGCAACGCACACGTATGCTGCTAAGATGCCTTTCCATACATTTACAATTAATGTATATTTTATGGGTGTGTCACATTCACGATGCATTCATGCATTTCACTTTCACGGACACAAAAATCGACTGCATCAATAATAACACACGTGTGCGTTGCGTTCGGCTGTTACAATCACCCCAGGAACAATTTTGACTGATACACAACACTTGGCACAAGTGTTGACGCACATATGGAAAGCTAAAGGTGCCTTACGTTACTTGTCAGACCTAAATGGGGTCGATTTTTGTGTCCGTAAGAGTAAACGCATGAACAGATAAATGCATCCTTTACCCAATACACAATAAATGTGAATATGGAGAGATGCCTTTACTCTGAACTGTGGGCATGGTGGGGTCTGTCATCCGCTGTGCTCCCGGTCCCAAAACCCCACAGTACAGATCATACTAGTCCTTTCTTTGGTTTTGCTGTCGATGTATCGTACCATGGCTCCTAAGACAATTCTATGCAAGAAAGTGATGGTCTTTTCAACTGTAAAACACAGAATCCGATAAATCTAATTTGGAATACTCAGTCTACTGTTAATATAGGCCTAATTATATGACTTACCTTACAATTAACTCTAAAAACACGACATTCGAACAGCAGCCAACAAAGACAAGAATTATCGCATATACCGGATTCATGGTCACGGTGAAACTGATTCAGCCACATTTACAAACGACCGACACAAACTGAAAGGGTTATGCCATGGTTTAAATTACTAACACCATGAACACGTTAAACCATTGCCGTTAAGGCTGTTTGCAAGTACATTACGAATGACAGACCAGCAAATTTTGGTTCATTTATTTGCACCGATGTGCGAACTGAACCGGGTTGGCAAAAACCCGTGTCCGAACGTTGCATTTATGTCACACGTGTGTCCGTACCAGTATTACACGTGCGCATATATATGGGTGTATGGTGCTCTGATCCAGAACACGACATGGGTGGCCGGTACCCGCATCTGCTTGTACTGGTTGGCCGTCATCACGGGTCACGTCCACAGACCTGATCATGGATGGCGTTTTAAAACGCGTGGATTCGGCGTCGACTTCAGTTCCGCTGGTTCCAGTCAGAGCTCGAACATGTGCTTTCCAACGCGGCTTCAAAATGGCTGGAACCAGCGAAGCTTACGTCTGCGCCGAATCCACTCGCTTTGAAAACGCTCGAACCATTGATTGCACTAGGGCACAGTTCACTAATTCCATTGGAAACAGTTGTAAAATCAGCACTGTTCAGGGCCTAATAACATGCACGCCAACATCCCTGAGATTTCCGAAACACAAATAAAATTCTTGTCTTGTCACTAATCTTTCAATTTCTTTTCAATTTTTTGTGGGTAAACCAATTACATTTTTAATTATTCCCACAAAACAAAATCACCCCCAAAAAGTGATTTTTCCGAAGTCTGATTGCAGCCATTTTTCAAGTGGCAACCCTCAACTTTTGCGGGCACTTTGAACCATTTTTTAACCGTAGTTTTTGGCCATTCTGCTCTCATATGAAAGCTCAAAGACCCAGGGAGTTGATCCTGGCAACGATTTACACAATCTCACCATTTTGGGTGCCAAACAATCTCCTTTTTCAAAAGATACTGTGGGGGGGGACTTTTAATGCTAATGAGCTGGCCAGAAACTCTCACTTGAATAAGTGGTCTGCACCCTATATAGACTGGATACTTTTTATTAGGATTGCGTCCAACACGCGTCCTGCGTATGCGTATTTCAGGAGGGTAAATAAGAAGCGTTACGAATTTCGTTGCGTGTACTTTCAAATGGAGTTTTTCAAAAATCGGTTGAGGTTTTTGTGCTTCAATCGTCAGATTTCGAAGAAAAATTAAATTCTGCACTTTGAATGGATAAATTTCGACACCAACGTCAAGATAGTGAAGTTCATATACAAAGCCTGGTAGGCTAGATAGACTGTCATAAATTTCTTACTAGGCCTATAATAGGCTAAAAGTTAAGCATTATAAAGTACAACTTGAGAAACTCTCTGAAACTAAAAAACGTGCGACTCACATTTCCTTCTGTTCCTTCTTCCAAACTTGACGTTGATCTCCGGTAATTCACTGCTGCGTACACCTCAACCATTATTCTTTCCCAATTTATCCATTTCAAGTGCAGAATTAAGTTGTAAAGTGGCTCGCTTTATATCTGGAAATTACGAGAGATACGCCAGTGTAACAACCATGTTGAAAAAACTAGTAGAGTGGATGCCCCTGGAAGAACGCCGGGCAGTTTGCAGGCTAATTTTCTTATACGAAAGTTTTAATGGCCTAGTAGCTTTCCAGGATGATAAACTTATTTAAGTTCCCACAACATCCAGTAGGCTAATTAACTAGAGGCTGCGCACCAAACTCCACATTCATTCCTCTTCACGCCAAAAACGACTGCTACAAATACTCGCTTATTCCATGCACAGTCCTTGAATGGAACCAACTCCCTCACTTCATTTTGGAAGCTTCCACTGTTGATACTTTCAAATCCAGCCTCCTGACCCTGGATATGAAGGCCCTTTTAAATCGCGCCCACCCTAGCAGACTAAATTGTTGCCTCATACTGCAAACACTACGCCTGCGCGTTTATAACTTTCCAAAAGGGTGTATACACGGCGCGGAGTAAACGCGCAGTCCGTCGCTTTGCGATCGCCCATTGTTTGCCCATACTTTTCAAAATCCCCGAGATAGTTTTACACCGGTGGTCTATAGTCTATGTGTCTGTATGTCTGTGGTCTGATGTGGTCACCACAGACTACTGAGATCAGTACCACACACATACTAAACACATGGACAGACAGCTCCTATTCAAAACAACGGCGGAGTATTGTAGCCGAGACGGCACCAGACTAAATCCAAAGGCGTGGGCAAATTCACCCCTCGGTATAGGGAATTTACACACAGTTGGAGAAGTCCAGCCATAAAATGCTATGAAGCCCTCTGTTCCTCTGTTTACTTAAGTTGGCCCTCGCAGATTCAAAACAGTGAGGTTGCAAGAGATAAAATAGGAGAGCCTTTTTAGAGCACATGTAAACAAATACATGCAATTTTAGTGCGTCCCGCGCAATAGCACTGAACGTGCTGCCATTTATCGTTTCGCCCACCGCATGTTTGCCACGCTTTTCAAAATCACGGTTATCCGCTCCGAGTGGAATAAAAGAGGGCGTTTTTGTTTAGTACTCGCCGCTAATTAGGCGGGCGTACGCGTTTATAATCCGGGTCGGCAGTGACTTCGTCACACAGGCGGACGCGCCACCATTTGCAGGCTCTCATTGGACAATTGCTGGAGTTGCGTTTTAACTTCAGGTTCCATAGAATACCAATTAAGTGAATACGTCACGCGCACAATTAGTGTGTAAAAGGCATGAGCGCGTGAACCAGCGCGTGAACCAACACGCGCGCGTACTCCATTCGTTTGTACTGCACTTTCTGGTTCACAGTGACTTCACACTTCGGTACTCTATAGTTCCATGTAAACGGCGATCAATGCACATTAACCTATGTGCAGTGCACTTATGTAGTGGGCGTGGTTTAAACTGAAGTAACGTCACACTTACGAACCGAATGGGATGAATAGCGCAAATATAAAAATCAGTGCAATTGTGTGATAGGAAGACAGACTCGTTGCTCTTCAAACATCAATAGGCTGCCGTACTAACTGTGCGAAATTTTCTCTTTTTACTCTCTTTCCAAGATTTTTCAATTCACTTCCAGGTGACCTCCAAAATCTCTGTCTGGAACCCTCTCCAAAAGACTTCCTTAATTCTTTACGAGATAACCTCTTTCACCAAGTCCTATCTCCCATGCCATTTGGACAACTTATTGCCATCATGAATAATAATCCCACGGACAGTTGCCCAGTTTAAATTTTAGCCGGGTGGGAGTTGCAGGCTTGCAGCTGCCCCCCCTTTGGTTTTTGGGTTGTTTTTATTTTTATTTTGGTTTTGCTTGTCTTTGTTTTTGATGGGGGTTAGTTTGTTCGTTTGAGTAGTAGAGAACTGAGAGTTCTGGACCAAACGCCCCTTTTTACCCGGTTTTTGCTCAAAACCATTGGGTAGTAGTACATCGACCCAAAAAATCGTCGAAACATTTTTGGTGGGAAAAAATGGGAAAATCCTGGAATGACGTGAACCCGGTTTTTGCTCAACACCCCTGGGTAGTACATCGACCAAAAAAACCGGGGATTTCCACTCACCTTTTGACCCCGGCACCGCTCGCTCGCTCGCTGTAAACAACTCGTGACTAGCGCCGGGGATTTCCACTCAACTTTTGACCCCGGCTGTAAACAACTCGC